GTTTCTCTGTTTATTTATAATTACCAGCTCTAACTCATGGTGTGCTTATTCCATTCTGCATGTTTTATCCTAGTGGTTTTAAAAATGGCTCCAGCAACATTAGGCTTTAGTTTCTCAATGGAGTTCATCAGAGAACAAGACTCTCTTTTCTAGAATTCCTGGGGGAGGGGGGTGTTGTGCAGGGGGCAGGATTGGCCCTTCTATTTCATTGGCTCTGACTGCATCATATTCACACTTGAGCCAATCGTGGTTGTAGGCAAGTAGAAATCATGAGCTGCAAGCCTTTGAGCTGAGTGTGTGGGGAAAATAAATCCCTACACAAAATTTGTGCTTATTTTGGTTTGAATGTTAGGATCTTCAATAAAATATCTATTGCAGAAATAGTGAGGCTGGCCTCAGGCTTTTTAACACTGAATCTCAGAACACAGTTACAATATTTTTCAACTTTTAAGGAAAACTGATTGTGATCCAAAGTAGTGTCACTAAGACATGTTGACATATATATGTGAAGGCAACAGAACCACATTCTGTTCTGCAATTACTTCTAAAAATATTCCACACTTTTATTCTTCTTAAAATGATTACTCTGGTCAGCCATTAAAATTATGAAATCATTCTTGATAGTCAGTTTAAAAAAAAGTGATGGACTCCAACAGGACCATCAGAGCTTTGTACTGACCCAGCTTCCAGCTCATAATAAGAATCTTCAGGGGAAATAGTACTGCAGCAAACCAAACCTGCTTAAAATCCTAAAGAAATGAACCTTTAACAGTGTGAGTGGAGTGTTCTAATGTTCATGATGGAATTTATTTATATTTTTTAATATATTTTTATTGATTTCAGAGAGGAAAGGAGAGGGAGAGAGAGATAGAAACATCAGTGATGAGAGAGAATCATTGATTGGCTGCCTCCTGCATGCCTCCTAATGGGGATCAAACCTACATCCCGGGCATGTGTCCTGACAGGGAATCAAACCATAACCTCCTGGTTCATAGGTCAACAGTCAACCACTGAGTCACTGCAGCTGGGCTCATGACGAAATTTATATGAAGCTTAAAGCAAAATATTTAACAACAGGTACATGAAATGATGCTCAACATCACTAATCATCAAGGAAATGCAAATCCAAACCACAATAAGATGTCATCTCACATCTTATTATTAGAATGTTTATCATCAAGAAGACAAGAGATAACAATTGTTGGCAAGGATGTGGAGAAAATGAAACTCTTGTGTTATCCTTCATTATAAAAATAATCCTATAATCGCGTGAAAGAAATTCCGTTCAAAGAATCATTCAGGCAGGCATACTCTGGATTGTACAATTGTTACTGTACATCTTAAATATATATTTATAGATACCAGAATATTGTTTGGTTAATTTCGAGTCATGAAATTTCTACAGATTTTCTTTAGTGAACAAATTTTCCCTTTCAATGAAAAAGAGACTTACCTGTCCCTACAAAATATCTGTGTATGTATTAGTTTGCTAGAGCTGCTGTAACACAGTATCACACACTGGGTGACTCAACAACACAAACTTATCATCTCACAGTTCTGGAGGCTAGAACTCCAAAACCAAGTTGTCAGCAAGTTCAGTTCCTCCTGAGGCTGTGCGGGAGGGATCTGTCCCAGGCCTCTCTCTTTGCTTTGGTGGTCATCTTTTCCCTGTGTCACTTCACGTTGTCTTCTCTCTCTGCATGTATCTGTATCCAAATTTCCACTCTTTATAAGGACACCAGTCATGCTGGATGATGGTTCACCCTAGTGATGTCACTTTAACTTGGTTATGTCTGTAATGACCCTCTCCCCAAAGAAGGTCACATTCTCAGGCACTGGGGGTTAGGACTCCATCATGTCCTAAACAATCCTATTTAGTAATAACTGTGGAAACTCACAAGATATTCAAGTACTTCAGGTTCTAAGAAATTCAATAGTCCTAATTAACGAGGACACAGGATTAAGAAACAGTCATCTAGCTATTCCCTCAGGACTCTGGCACCACAGGACAGCCTCTGGCCCTGTGGCTCATTTAGAACTTCAGAGAGCTGGGCTCTCCCGGTCCCTGGTCCCTCCCAGCTGCTCTCCTTCATGGCTGCAGGGTAACTTACTTAGGCTCCGCTGACATATGTTGTTGATTAGACACATAATAAGCCTGTTCCTGGAACTCCACTGGGTTCTGTTCTTCCTTGTTGTTTCAGTTTACTTGCTTTGGCAAAGATACTGAACACTTACCATAACACCAGTCCCAGACTGAGAGCACAGCAGGGGGCATTTCTCAGACTTCAGTGGCATGTGGAGTCCCCCTGGAGGTCACAAGGAGGTGAGCCTTGCACTGCCTGCCCCTTTTTGCTGGCTCCTGTGCCCTCCCAAGTGGCAGCTTGGAGGGGTTGTTTTCCTTTCCTTTCTCTGGAACTAGACATACGTGTGAAGAGGCGATGGGTGCAGCCCTTCACGACCTCATTAAACAATGCCAGGTAATCTTGGCATTTCATGCACGGAAAAACCGGTCCTCTATACACCGCAAGGAAATGAAAGTGACATCTTTATAAGTCAGTGAGGGGAGTCCCACAGGGAGAGTTCTTGGAAATCAGCCAACTGGCAGAGTCAAGAAGACTCAGTGGGGAAAGGCTCTTCAATAAATGGTGTTGGGGCCTGGCCAGTGTGGTTCAGTGGTTGAGCATCGACCCATGAACCAAGGGGTCACTGGCTCGATTCCTGGTCAGGGCACATGCCTGGGTTGCGGGCTCGATCCCCAGTGTAGGAACATGTAGGAGGCAGCTGATCTGATCGATGTTTCTCTGTCATCACTAATGTTTCTATCTCTCCATCCCTCTCCCTTCCTCTCTCTGAAAATCAATAAAAATATTGAGAGCCACATACAGAAAAATATAATTAGGACCCCATTCTTACAATACTCATGAAAATTAACTCTAACTGGATTAAAAACTTAAACCTAAGACCTGATACAATAAAACTCCTAGAAGAAAACATAGGGGGAAATCTCCTTGACATTGGTCATGGCAATGACTTTTTAGCCATGAGAACAAAAGCACAAGCAACAGCAGCAAAATTCAACATGTGAGATTACATCAAACTAAAACACTAGTGCACAGCAAGAGAAATAACCAAATGAAAAGGCATCTTACAGAATGAGAGAAAATATTTGCAAGTCATATATTTAAGGGGTTAATATACAAAATATATGAAGAATTCACACAACTCAGTAACAGAAAAATAGAACAACCTCATTAAAAAGTGGGCAGGGGAACTGAATAGACATTTTTCCAAATAAAACCTACAAATGGCCAACAGGTACATGAAATGATGCTCAACATCATTAATCATCAAGGAAATGCAAATCAAAACCACAATAAGATGTCACCTCTCATCTTATTGTTAGAATGTTTATCATCAAGAAGATAAGAGATAACAATTGTTGTCAAGGATGTGGAGAAAATGGAACTCTTGTGCACTGTTGGTGGAAATACAAATTGGTGCAGCCACTATGGAAAACAGAAAAGAGAATCCCCAAAAAGTTGAAAATAGAACTACCATATGATCCAGCAATCCCACTTCTAGGTATATAGCCAAAGAAAATGAAAAGGGGATTTTGAAGAGATATCTGCACTCCCATGTTTATTACAACATTATTCACAATAGTCAAGATATGAAAACAATCTACATGTCTGTCAATGGAGGAATGGATAAAAAAGTGATATGTATACAATACAATAGAATATTCTTCAGCCATACAGAAGAAGGAAATCCTGCCAGTTATGACAATATGAATTAACCTGGAGGGCATTGTGCTAAGTGAAATAAGCCATACAGAAAAAGACAAATACTGTATGGTATCACTTATATGTGGAATTTTAAATAAATAAGTAAAAATTTAAGTCTAACTCATACAAACAGACTGTAGAGTGGTGATTTCCAGGGGCTGGGGTAGGAGAAATAAGGAGATATTGATCAAAGGATATAAACTTTTAGTTACGAGATAAGTTCTGAGGATCTAATTAATGTACATTATGGTGACTATAGCTAATAACATATGTATACTTGAAAGTTGCTAATAGAACTCAAGTGTTTTCAACTAAAAAACACAAAAAGGTAACTTTATGAAATTTTGGATGTGTTAATTAACTTGATTGTGATAACCATTTCACATGTATGCATATCAAACCATCACATTGTACTCTAAATATGTACAATTACTTTTTTATACTTTTATGGATTTCAGAGAGGGAGAGAAAGGGAGAAAAAGAGATAGAAACATCAATGATGACAGAGAAACATCATCGATCAGCTTCCTCCTGCGTGCTACCTACTGGGGATCGAGTCCCAAACTGAAGGCATGTGCCATGATCAGGAATTGAACCTTGACCTCCTGATTCTTTTTGGTCAAAGCTCAAGTACAGAGCCACACCAGCCAACTAAATATATACAATTTTTATTGTTGATTATATCTCATTAAAGATGAGAAAATATATAAATTAGGGTATTAAAAAAGAAAAAAACCCATTTATACAATCAGTGAATGAACAAATGACTAAAGAATGATTAGAAGGAAACCCTGTATTTAGCTTCCTTTTTGTTTGCTCATTTGTTTTAAATAAGCCTTATCTTATTGGTTTTTTAAGAATTATGAGAAGGAAATTGCAGGCTATCAAGGAATAGAATTCAATGAAACTTTTTTGCTGATGCTTCTTTGATGTTTGACTGACAACAGTAGTATACAATATTCAGATATTACCCACAGTTTTAGCAATGTGCTGATGAAATTTAACACATAATTTGGTAATATTTATGAAAGTTTGCAAACTCACAATTCTTTTAACCCACAAAACTCAAGTTGGAAAACGTATTCTGAAGAAATTAAAGCACCAATATTTATTAATGTATAAAACTGGGATTTTTATTTAGCATTCTCTAAAGGAACAAAAATCTAACAAACACTGATATGGCCTCCAATAAACAATTTTTTGAAGAAACTGTATTATACTGAATATCAAGGAATAAATGCATCTATGAAAATAATATGTATATAGATAACCCTAATGTATTAGCATATTTGTAGAACTCAAAAAGGTAAGCATACTCATACCAAGAAATGCAAATTATTTCCAGCATTTATTAAATTTAAGAGTTCAGTCGAGCAATGACCAAATATCATGGGGCTTCCCAGCACAGTCAGAATGTGTGCAAATCTACTTTTCTTCGCCAGAATTTCATCAAAGCTCTTTTCATCTCACTATTTCGCAAGGTGTAGATCAGTGGATTTAGCAGAGGCGTGAGAAGTGAGTAAGCCAATGACATCAGTTTCTTGGTTTCTGGGGAGTAGCCAGATTTGGGTTGTAAGTAAGTCATACTGGCTGTGCCATAGAAGAGGGTGACAGATGTGAGATGGGAGGCACAGGTGGAAAAGGCCTTTTGTCTCCCAGTGGTTGATGGCATCTTCAGGATGGCAAAGAGGATTCGAATGTAAGACAAGAGTATCAACAAGAAAGGAACCATGATGATCAAAATGGTGCCAGTGAATGCATAGATTTCAAATAAAAAGGTGTCTGCACATGCAAGCTCCAGCACTGGGGGCGTCTCACAAGAGATATGGTTGATCTCACTGGGGCCACAAAAGGGAAAACTAAAAACCCACGTAGTCTGCACAGTAGCCACGATGACCCCTGAGACCCATGAGAACATTACTAATTTCATGAAAACCCTTTTGTTCATAAGCATTGGGTAGCTCAGAGGATGGCAGATAGCAGCAAGTCTGTCATAAGCCATTGCCCCCAGGAGAAAGCATTCCGCCCCACCAAAGAAAAGAAGGAAATACATCTGTGCAAAACAACTCACAAATGAAATTGACGTTTTCTCAGTGGAGAGAACCACCAGCATTTGAGGCATAATGACTGCACTGAAACTCACATCCACCACAGACAAGTTCAGGAGGAACAGGTACATGGGGACGTGGAGGCTCTGTTCCAGGGAGATGATGACTATGATGATGGCATTTCCCATCAGGGTCGCCAGGTAAACAACCAAGAAAACCCCAAAGAGCTGCTCTTGGAGCGCAGGAAAGTTAGAAAAGCCCGCTTGGATGAATTCCGCCACAGAGCTTTGGTTCCGCCTCTTCATGTCAGTAGGGTACACACCTTGTTTTTGGGGCACGGTGTACGAGTTATGAAGTTGCCATCCGATAGCTGTGTCCGTGTCTGCAGTCACCCAGATGTTCTTGGCAGATGATGTAAAGAGGAATCCATCCTGAAGGCATTCAGTTTGGCAATTTTGGAGAATGGCCAATTACTCAGATTAATACATCTTTCAAATCAAACGAGGAAGTGAAGAATTCTGGCTCAGAAACCTTGTCTGTAAAGTACAAAACATATCAAAGTTCTTTTGCAACTTTTACATTATGTAGTTTGAAAATTAAACACAACCTTAAAACAAATGTTTTATAATTTGGGTTCCACTCCCATGACATTGCTATCAGTATCATTTATTTTTCTCAATTTTAAATAATATGAAATTTTTAAAAAGTATTAAAAAGTAGACAAGTGGGAAAAGATACCCACAAAATGTTTATTACAACTTAATAATTCAAAGTTACAGCAAATTTATTTTATATTTATAACAAATATGTATCGTGTTCAAATATCAATCATGTATATGATTTGATTACATATAAAGGCAAAACAAGGACACAAAGCGGGGTTGTAAGAAAAGTCCAATTTTGGTCATTCTGAAACTAATTTAAATGTTTCCATTCTCTCCCTCTCTTTTCTCTCTCCTCCTATTCACCTTCTCATCAAGAACTTCATTTAATCATTAGTTATTCAACAACTAACATTTTCTAGGCTCAGTAATCTCAAGTACACATTTGATCCCACAACTCCACAAAGAGCTGGAAACCCTAAATAAATTAGCATTCCACCCTGACTTCAGTACTCTCTAACTCCTCCCATTATACCTTGCTCTATTTTTCTTCATTATTACCAACTGACATTATACATATACTAGTAAATATAGGTGAATTTCATAAATATATGTAAATCTAATCACTATAATATAAAGTCCAGGATTTAAGTATTTTCTTTTGTTCTTTGCCTTACTCACAATGTCTAAAACCGTCCCTAGCCCATAATAAATGCTAAACCAACATTTGAGGAATAAGGAATAAAAATGAGGAAAATCCACTATATTTTGCCCTGACTGGTCTTGCTCAATGGTTAGAGCATCTGCCCGCACCGAAGGGTCTCAGGTTCAATTCCCATTCAAGGGCTCATACCTGGGTTGCAGGTTGGATACCAGGCCCCAGTCAGGGTTCATATGGGAGGCAACTAACCAATCGATGTGTCTCTCTCATCGATGTTTCTCCCCCACCCCCACCCCATCTCTCCCTTCCATTCTCTCTAAAAATCAATGGACAAATGTCCTTCAATAAGGTTTTTTTTTAAATTCACTATACCTTTAAGGAATAGAGTGTCTTTTAAAAAGTGAAACCAGCACACAAACGTTGGGAAGCAGAAGTAATAACAAGTGCTTACACATTTCAGTGAGGGTCAGATTCATTCTGTAGGGGGAGGAAGAGTGAACAACCATAATCATAGGATGTCATTGGTGGAAGTTACATTTGGTGGAAGGAGAAATGTGAAAGGAGGGGTGACTTGGTCAGGCCAGAGGTATTTGATGACACCTTATTATTACAATAGAGGCCTATGTCCCTTATATGATATTTTGAAAACCAGCAAATACACCATGGGACAAGAAACCCAGGAGAACACAGTGAGGACAAAGAAAGCTGAAGTCATTTAACATTGTCTTGCGTGCAGATTAGTAGGTCATTAGCAGGCAGAAGATAAGTTGATTTATTTCTGTGTTTGACCATAATCATCCATTAAAATTAAATGTCTATATTAGCCATAATAATTATATTTGGATATAAAAATTATCTAAAATTAGTAAAGTGTAGTCACAGGATCAAACACTTAAACCCCATTTCTAGTGGGGAAAAAAGAATAACATGTTTTCAGCTGCAAATATTAAAAGTGCATAGATTTTTATCCCCTGCCAGGTGGCTCAGTTGGTTGGAGTGTTGTTCCATACACCAAAAGGTTGTGGGTTCAGTTCCCGGTGGGGGCACATACAGGAGGCAACTGATGGATGTTTCTCTCCCCTCACCTTTTCTCTCTAAGATCAATAAAAGTGTATCCTCAGCTGAGGATTTAAAAAATAAATATAAAAGTGAATAGATTTTTTAAATTAGAAAATTTAGGGTATCATATAAACAAAATAGAAAACCTTCTAGAACTGACTGTAGGCATGTTATGGAACAGAATGTTCATGAGTGGTTAAGAGCAGCTGACCACAGACGCTCTAAATTCTCTGTAACTTAGAAGACCCTTATGCTATCCTAGACCTAACTCACCAATCACTCCCTTCTGTAGATTTCATCCTTGCAATTGAAAAATGGTAAGAATTAGACTTATTTACCAAGTTCCCTTCCAGTTCCAAACTTCTAAGATTTGATGATTAGTTCATGCAAAGTACTTCTACCCCTAATTATTACCTAAACTCTTCTCTTAAAAAAGAGAAAAACAAATTGAATAGCATCAAAACCAAGAGAAAAACAAATTGAATAGCATCAAAACCAAGAGTCTACCGATTCAAATGTTTCAGCTGTGTCTGGTGATTCCTGAGCGCAGAGAAATCCTTCAACAGCATCTCCAGCTCACAGGGAGAAGAGATGTACATGGAAAACCCACCATCAGGTGCACAAGCGGAAGCTTCACTTCCTTACCTGTTAACTCTGTCTCTTTAATTTCACACTTCTGTGTCTGATATTTTACCTCTGGCCAAAGCCACCTTCTCAGAAATACCACTCAGATTTATTGCACTGATTCTAGAACATTATATGACATTGAATTACGTGCCCTGGAGAATCCCTCCCTGGAGAACGTGGAATCACTTCACAAACACTTTCCCATGTTCTCAAGTGATAGCTAAAGAGGCTTGAACTTGGCCCCTCAGGCGAGAAAGCTCAAGAGCACACACCTGGAGCCACCACGCCTTCCTATTCCTAGAGGGGAAAATGCCTCTCCACACAAGAGACACGATTTCACCGATTTCACCGTGACATCTCCCAATAGGAGGGGAGAGCAGAGGCTGAATAAAGGCTGTAAATGGGGAAAGAGAGCGGTGGGGTGAGGGGTGGGAGTGTGAGCTAGAGGTAGAGGATCTCAGTAGAGGAGTGCACGGTTTGGGCAGTGGTTGGAAACAAGCTGAGGCAACTCTATGGGAGCTTTGTAGAAAGCTTGGGTGCCCTCCCCCCTCCAAGAACTTTCCATCATTTCTAGTCCAAATAGAGTCACTGAAAATTTTTGAGAAAAATGTCATTACAGTTGTTTCCATAGATAGAAATTTTAAATGAGGAGTCAAAAACTCTGGACTAGTTTGTGTGATTTGAGTAAGTCACTTAGCTCCTCTGATTCTATTACTTTCCCTGTAAAATCAGCATCATGTCATTAATCTCATGGAATACGTGTGAGAATCAGGGACTCGGGGATCAGTCCAAACTGGCTGGAACAATAAATAGGCCCTGGGCTTTCGGCAGGCTCGGCTTTGTCCAGAACTGGATGTGGCCAGAATGCAGGCTACTGTCGTCTGTTTCTCCTCTCTCTTTTCCGGGAGCAGGCTTCAGTCTCAAGGGAGCTCACCCCTCCTGGCAGCAAGAAGGGTTCACTCTGTGTAATCTGTATCCAGTGGGAAATGTGTCGGTTATCCTGAGGAAAAGGGGTTTTCATTCACAAATTCTAATCCAAGGGCCCTTCCAATATCATTCTCCAAGGTAGGGTAACACCCCGCGCACGACCCAGTCACCTGCACTAGGTGTGAGAAATGCTGCCTTGTATGTAGTTTCCATGATTCATGACCCATAACATCCCCTGTGGGCTTCCTTCATACTGATATGTTTGAATTATTGGTGTCAGCGATGGGAATGCAGGTGAAATGTACTTTGTAAGAAGTCATCAGGATGTTGAGGCATGATTTTTACACTTTCCTATGTGTGTATTAGATGTCAGTGAAAAGTGTATACAAACATTTCAGATACGTGCTAACAGGGATAAAAAGGAAGTGACTTTTATTAATAACAAACTATAATTCATAGCCAATAGTACTAAACTGATAAAACAGAAATCAAAATGTGGAAACTATAACACATCTTCCTCAATGATTGACAGACAAAATAGACCAAAAAAGAGATGGAAAGTGGAAGATTTTTAATGACAGAATGTTGATTTAACAGATGATAATGAGAGTAAATATAAGGCAGAAACAACACTTGTTATGCTGCTAACGTTATACTTCCCAAAATATTTATAAAAATTGATTATATGTCAGAGAGAAAATAATATAAATTCAAATACTTGGCAGTCATGCATATAACATACTTTGCAATAAAACTGCAAAACAACAACCAAATAGAGAAAAAGAAAATTAAAGTCTTGGAAATTTTTAAATATTCTGAAAGTATCTCATGTTAACAGGAAGTCAGCAATGAACTATAGACTACTAATAAATTCATGTTTAAATTAAGTAAACACATATTCATTTATTATTGTGTCCATAACTGAACGTCTAGTGTTTTCCTAAAACCTGCTCCACCTTCTGCATTCCTCATCTCAGGTAAATAACAGCTTAAAGCTTCTAGTTACACAGGCCAGAAGCCTATGAGTCATCCTTGAATCCATTTTTTTCTTCCAAACCATATCAAACCCATCACCTATCTGTGGCTCTGTCTTCAAAATACAGTGTTAAAAATTCTCAACTTTCCTAAAGCTAACACTCTGCCCCAACCTACTTTCTTCTCTTCGTTGGATAATTGCTATGGTCTCCGAACTTCTCCTTCCTTCCTCCCTTTCTTCTGCTCAAAATATTTCAGTAGCACCCTATCCCATTCAGTATAGAAGCCAAACTCAAGAATATAGATTAAAGATCTGTTTCCCACCTCGGCTCTCTGGGCTCGTCCTTGGCACATCCCCTTAGCCACTCCTATTCAGCCATGCAGCTTCCTTGCTATTTCTCTGATCCACCAGCCATGTTTTCATCGCACAGCTGCTGCCTCTGTTTTTCCCTGAATATACACTATTGCTCTCAAAAATGCTAACTCCCTTATGTCACTTTGCCCAAGTGGCATCTTCTCCATGAGATCATCCCAAATCAACCTTTATAAAATTGAACTCCAGTCCTGACTGATTTGGCTCAGTGGATAGATCGTTGGCCTGCAGACCGAAGGATCCCAGGTTCGATTCCGGTCAAGGGCATGTACCTCGGTTGTGGGCACATCCCCAGTAGGGCGTG